TGTTAATTTCCGGTATAAATTCCTTCCAAGAAACTTCAGCGCTACAAGTCCTTTCTTAAGTAAAACTAGTTTATTCTCTCTCAATACAGCTTTGCAATACACTTAATTTCCACAATCTATCTAACTGAAATACACGCTATAATTCACAACGAATGATTCACGCCCTTGACTCAATTGTCCGTCTTTGTCTGTCTGCAATTCCATCTCGATTCATTGCCTGGCGCACTTATATTCAAGAATACCGCACATCTAGCAAACACTCGAGCTTTCACGAACCTTCGAGAATATCATGACGTGTTACTAGTGTCAAGTGACTTCCGCTGTCGTAACAATATTGTTGCGTATCTGGTCGTTTGTTAATTTCCGGTATAAATTATTTCTGAGGAACTTCAGCGATACAAATCCTTTCTTAGTTAAAACTAGTTTATTCTTCCTCATTACAAACTTTGTAATACACTTAATTTCCACACTCCCTTTAACTTCACTACTTTTATAACACATACTATAATTCACAGCGATTCACACACTTTACTTACGGTGCCTACTGCTCGCTTGACTGAAATATCAATTATTTCTCTTCAATCTTTCTCCGGCTTATATACTAAAAAGAGTGCTTCTAGCAAGCGCTGGGATATTCTTGAGGTTGCCCAATAAGTCACAATCCTTCTAGAAACTCCAGCGTGCATGCTCCCAGCATCTCGTGACTTCCACTGTCCTAACAATATATACCTACCACCTGGAAACATTCCATCTCTATTATAACACTTTTGTCCTTTGGAAGTCTTAAATTTTTTAACAAATACAGTTAATGCAAAATAATATATTGTCAATATCAACAGTAGCTTGCAATTGCGCTTTCGATTTGCATTTTCTTGGTCATCATTCTGATGTATCCACGTTTGATTTCCAGTTATTTCTGAATTCACACCACTTTCAGTTGCTTTGCTTTACAATTTTGTCGTTAGTATTAGTTGATTACTTTAATCATATTGTTATCTCAAATAGTGTTATTTCCATCCTCGTCACTTGTCTTCATCAGCTGTTAAAGTAATCCTACTAATTTTGCTTATTAGTTTTGTCTAGAATATTATTTTGTTTTACTAACCTCATCAAGTCGCTATTAACCTAACCCAAGTTTGTTTACAATATGTACAATCTATCTATATCCTAATTTAAATGTGATGATTTACAATCATCCAGCTTGACTACTTTAGTAGCTTTGGAGTAGGACATATTTTTAGTGTCTGTCTTCGGTTTCGGTGTCTTTCCGAATTTCCATATTCCGATATAGTACATTACCACCACTCGTATAAACAGCTATTTTCGTTGAGTGCTGCCCTCTATATGCAAAATGTTTTTTCATGTATATCAAAAGTCTTGTGCTTCCCCTCCATTGGAAATGTCTCTCATGCAAATTATCATGCGACAACCTTCTACCAACAGGAGTGCCACAAACACACTCTCGTTATGTATGTGACTCCCTCTATTAAATTCTACCAGACTACCACTTCATGTTTGGCAATGCTCGTGCTTAGACGTTTAAAAGTTTACTTTATCTTTATAACTTAAACAGTTATATTTACAAAGTTGACTTCTTTATTAATCATTTTGGATTATACAGCTGATGTCTTTATTCTCAATTCACTTTCCAGTCTTTATTATTATTTTCTCTCTCTCGCAGGTTTGTATTCATCTATCAAATATTTTATTTGGTTTATTATTTACCATGAATTCCAGGGTTAATGTTAGCCACTTCGGGTGTCACACCTCCTACACTCACTTTTTTCAATGGTGGCAGGTCGGGGGTGACCCGTCATGGGGTCAATCACCTTCTCCTGAACTTGCCTCATTTCCTCAAGAACAAGCCCAACCTGTTTGATCGGATTAAACTTTTGATACCCATTTTCCACCGCCACATTTTGCCATATGTTCCTATGCTGCACCTACAGAATCAGTTAGGCCTAATACGGCGATTTTAGACGTAATTTTTCAGGTATGTGATGTTTAATCCATTTCCCTGGTTTCCTATGACCCTCCTTTGTTGCATGATAGTTCTATAGTTCTTCTTCTTATTATTTAGTCTTCCCACCTTCCCCAGATATTAGGGTTCATGCTGAGTATTTTGCTTCCCAATTGGTTGAGGTTGCCAGCATGCATCGCCCCCCTTCCACGGGCTATGGATCAGTTTGTTTTGGCATATCATCAAGCTGACTGTTCATTTCTAGACTTTCAGCAGTTGGGGTCTATTTTGCCAGTTCAGGTGAGCACTGATTTTCTGGCACGTTTAACTCATGCGTAGTGTTCACACCTTCGTCTTATCCTTACTTCACTTCTACAGTATTTATCTACCACACATCTCCTTTCCAAGGCTATGCACCGAAATCATGAGGGATTTTCGACGGACAATCTCTCCCTTATTACCTCCACATTGGCTTGTTTGTCGTCTTTGGCTCTCACCTTACATACATGGTTTCTCTGTTGTTGGGATCTTATTAGTCATGATGCGGCCTTCCCACCCACTTATCTCAGGTAATTATGTATAGCACCTTTTATCTGGCAGCATGTATTCGGCAATGTTCCTGACACATTGGAATCATTTGTGGAATCTCTGTGTCAACATCTACCCTTTCTTCTTTGGTAGCTTGTTTGTCACATTCAGAACCAAGACAAGCCCTTATTCTAGTTTCCTGTCCCA